GTCAGAGATCTAGCCGGAAAGGTTTTGGATTACTAATCTGACCACAACTACTTTGTGGTGAAGTGTTTCATTCTCAGAGTATATATACTTTATTTTCTTTCCAGATACCTCCTACAAACAGAGCCTTGTCTCTGGTGGGAGTTACAATTTTATTTCTTTGATAAATAGAGGTTAAGCCCCAAGACACCACTGGAGTGTCTTTTTGGTGCTTTAGTTTCAGAGTGGGAGATTCTGCCAGTGCAGATCTCCCCACTCTGATCAACCCTTTATAAGATTATCTATCGCATTCATATTTTCAGTTAATAGAAATGGAGCATTCAATAGGTCTAATTTTCTTTGGTTCACTTTCGGTAATTTGAGACTAATTACTTTTCTCTAGATCTTTTAGATTATATAGCAATCTGTAAAAGTCTACAAATGCTTGAGAAATATCCTTTGGAGAGGTTAAATGTTAATCTCCTATAACTATTTTTTTTTTATAGATTTGTCTTTAAGGTGGTTCTTAATTTTATTTGAAAGATACTTGTTTATTTTATTATTGTTATGACACCACCTTTGTTTGAGAAAAGCAATATTTTTATTTACCTTATATATGCTTTCTTTAATAGATTCTCTCAGGCTAGCTATTTCTTTCACTCTTTGTCACCTTAATTTTATTTAACCATTCTTTAATTGCTAATTTAAATTTTAATTCCTGCAGGGATCCTTCTTTTTTCCGTTTTAATTCTGAACCCAACTTTATCACTCGACCCCTTGCATAACTTTTAAAGGTACACCACAATATTGAGGTGGAAACCTCACCATTATTGTTTATAATTTTTAAAAAATTCTAGTTCATATGACAAATTATTAATATTATGTTCAGATTTCAAGAGAGTTTTGTTTAGTCTCCATCTAGTATTAATATTAATAAATACCGGCGCATGATCCGATGTAACTATTGTGTGACGAAATCACCTTCGTCACTGGGATTTGGAGAGGCCTGCTTGCCAGCCTCTTGCCCTGTGACTATGGCCCCTGGGCTGTATTGCCCTTTAAAAGCTTTATTTGGGCATATTGGATTTTAAAACACTTTTAATGGCCCCTTTAAATCCATGGGAAAACATGCCTCTTCCCCTCCCCCTTTTTCCTATCCTATTGTTCTTCAGCAGGGTGTTGTCCCAGGGACACTGCCAGAGCAGTTGAAACTGGCTGCTTTGTCCCTCCTCAATCTCTCATCAGCCCTTGCTATTGTTTAACCACATGGCGTTCCAACTGCATTCGTGAGATCTGAGCGCTTTTCGGACATATTGAGCACTCAGATCCAAGCTATCTGGGGATATGTTGGACATATAGGTTAAACATTGTATTATATGAGTTATGTATTTTTATGTGTTTTTTGTAACAGTTTTTACTTAGAGATATTCCCTGTACCTGGAGATAATTAAGTTACCACACCCACTTAAGCCAATTATCTCCAGGATAGAGGAGAAGGTGGACCGGCTGCACAGCCTAAATCTGTGGAACTGTTTTGGGCAGGAAAGCCATGCTTGCGGTTGGTCAAATGTGACTTCCATGGAATTCGTGAACACCTGCTTTAATCTGGGTGATTTTTGGATATGTTGTTCACCCAGATCAGGGCTATCCTTGGATGTATAATTTGTGAGAATATGTGGTGTTTTGGGGTGTTTTCTGTGTTTGGGGAAAAATGTGTGTTTTCTGCCTGTGAGTAATTAAGTTAGCCCATTGTGTTTTTTAATTGTATCACAGGCAGAGGGGAGGGTTTGTGTATATTGTCTGGGAGTGTCTAAACTGTACAAGTCTGTCCTGGTTTTGTAACTTTGTATCCTGTGTTCCACAAGGTCCACATGGGTGGTAACCTTGTGGGAAAACGTGTATATAAGAGACAATAGACCCTCAGACTGCAGAGTTCCTGTTTTACCCTCAACATAGAGCCTTGTCTCTGTGTTTCTCTTTTTTTCCCCTTTCTCTTTTCTTACATTTTCCCTTCCTTCCCCATTCACATTTATCTCATTTAAAAAAAAATATTTAATTAGAGGAGTTATCTCAAAGTGTGATATTAAAAGGTGCATTCTAAAGGACCCAAGTGGCTCATTATATAATTCAAACCCTCAGTACAATAATAGATACTTTCCTCATGTATATATCGATTAGTTTTATCTTATAATATTAATTGAGTTTTCCTCCATTTGTAAATCCATATGTGAATTATAATAATAAATGTAGATTAAAATAACAAACATTAATCTTAAAAGTAAACCACCATAGCAAGATTTGTACTCAAGATGCTAAGTAGCTCCTTAATATATAATTGAAACCCTCATTGTGCCGTTAATTAAATTATTCCTATAATATTAGTTAAATTCTTCCAATACCGGTGTATCCATATATGTATTGAGGCACATATGACTACATTTGCTAAAAGTGAAAATCACTTCCCCTCTTCCAACCTACACACAAAATATATTAATAGCAAGTGTAATCAATAACGAGTACATAGCCATATTTATAACGTCAAAACTCTATTCTTAATATCTTATTAATATTAAAATTAGGATTTCCAGCATTTATCGATCCTTATGTGACTTAAAATAACAAACATAAATTATAATAACAATCGTTGATCCTAAAAGTGAAACACCATAACAGGGTTTTTACTCACAAAATTCACAAAGTGCACACACAGCCACTAGAGGATTTGAGGGCTGGATTAACCCATTTATAAACATAGCAGTTTCTCTGAAACTGCTATGTTTATAAAAAAAAATGGGTTAACCCTAGATGGACCTGGCACCCAGACCACTTCATTAAGTTGAAGTGGTCTGGGTGCCTAGAGTGGTCCTTTAATTAAATTCTTACTATATTATTAATTCGATTCTTCCACTACTTGTATAACCATATATGTATTGGGGAAGCAAACATGTGACCACAATTCCTAAAAGTGAAGACCACTTCCCTTCTTCCAGCCTACCCACACAAAGGCCCTATCCTTATTACTTGTTAACAAATTACCTAATTTGTAAAATTCAGGCAAGAAAATTATTTGTATATAGTACAAAAGAACAAACACTTTTGCCCTTAAAACAAAAAAGTGGATATATAGCACTTATCTCAATAGACAGTGGTAACAGCTTCCTTCATGGACATCCCAGCAATAATCCCTCCAATACAGAATATATATATATATATATATATATATATATACAAAAATGAGGATGCAGCTGTAGATCTACAAAAAAACAAAATAAAACAACAGTGCAACACTCAGGGGCGTACCTAGAGCATGTGGCACCCGGGGCCCCCCTGGGTTTGGCTCCCCTCCCTCTCCCCTCCCAAAAAAAAAAATACCTACTAAATTTTTTAAATGTGTTATTTTTTTAAATTTTTTAAAATGTATTGCACAAATTTGTAAACTTTTTAAAACCCTGTCCCTTCGACAAAATCCCTGCACCCCCTCACATACAGTTACAGGCAGACAGTCACACACACACACAGTCACATGATGACAGTCACACATATAGTCACAGGCAGTCATACACACAGTCCGTTACAAGCAGTAACACACACACAGTCACATATACAGTCACACATGGTTACAGCCACACACACATACATTACAGGCAACATCACACAGTCACAGGCAGACAGTCATACGCACACAGTTACAGACAGGCAGTCACGCACACAGTAACATGCAGACAGTCACACACACACCGCCACAGGCAGACAGTCACACACACACACACACACACAGGCAGCATCACACAGGCAGACTGTCACACACAGTCACAGTCAGACAGGTACACACTGTCACAGGCAGTCACATACACACAGTTACAGGCATGCAGTCACACACAGACACAGACACACACACACAGACAGTCACACACACAGTTACAGACAGACCATTACACACACAGACACACACAGTTACAGGCAAACAGTTACACACACACACAAAGTTACAGGCAGACCGTTACACACACATACAGTTACTGGCAGACAGTTACACACACACACACACACAGTTACAGACAGTCACACACACACACACACACACACACAGTTACAGATAGACAGTCACACACACAGTTACAGGCAAACAGTTCACACACATACACAGTTACAGGCAGACAGTCACATACTCAGTTACAGACAACAGTAACACACACATACACACAGTTACACACACACAGTTACAGGAAGACAGTTACACACACACACACACACACACACACACTCTCTCTCTTACTTACTTACTTACAGACAGTGTGGGCTGGAGGAGGAGTGGTTCATTGAAGTCCTTCCCTGGAGCCTGTTAGGTGGAGGAGCAGGGATTTCTTCTTGCTGCACCTCCATGTGCAGCAGTAACAGCACCAGGTAAGGGCTGTCTTAAGCCCCGCCCCCGCTTTTGGATTGGCTCTGCCCCCAAACGGCCATAGCCCTGTCCCCAAACTTCCGTGCGGCCACTTGCTTGTCTCTGCCAGTGAGCTATGCGACACCCCAGCTGCCAATGGGGCACAGCTCTCACGTCCCCCATTAGCTCTCAGACCTGGGTTATAGCACCCCCCTACCAGGTGGCACCCAGGGCGGACCGTCCCCTCCGTCCCCCCCTTAGTCCGCCACTGGCAACACTGTATAATAAAGTATAAGTGCGCTGTGTAGAATATAACTCCCAAGATTGATGAATGGTTAGTGCCCAAGGGTGCCTCCCCTGATGTAGATGGGGGCCGTTAACACTGCTCCTGCTCCAAGGAAGGCAAAATACGAGTCAGGATGTGGAGTTAAAAAATATTTATTCTTTATTTAAAAGAATTAAAAGTATAAAGGTACAAATAAGCTGTTTTAGTACCAGGTCCTACGCGTTTCGTCCGATGGATTTCCTCAGGGACCTCCTGGTATGCAGATACGTAACAGCAATAAAACAAATACAAATGAACAATAAAAACCCTCCCCCGAGTCCTTTCTTTTATACTAAAGGTTGTTACTTCTCATTGGTGCTTCACTGGGCGTCTGTTCTTTGATGCAGCTGTCTGTAATTGAGTTTCCTGGGTTTTGCCAATTTTGTGATGTCACTTCTGGTTTTTCGACAGTTGCGCGACGTCATTTCCGGTTCGGCGATTCATTCCTATGATCAAGGTGGGCGTATGCTTCCTGTGATGGATAGATTAATGATGGGAGCCTTTGGGGCTCAAAAAGTAAACAAAATCAAAGTTGTAGGCAAATGAAAAATGGAACATTTATTTTTAAAGTATAGGATTTTTTTGCAAATGAAAAAAAATGAAAAAAACACACAGAGATCTTACTCATTAGGGTCTATATGAATACATGGAAGGTTGAATGTTTTGCCCATGTGGCTAATTAATCGATACTTATGATTACTAGGCATCTAAATAATTAATGGTATTATTGCTATATGTTGAGTGCCAGTCACTTCCATGTAAACGGATTATAAGACCTCTAGATTTTTATGCCTGCTTTTGGTACATATATCTTTAGTTTGAAATATGGGAATGCCACTTCCCCGCATCTGAATCAATGAAGAAAGAAACATTTTTTAAAATATACATATCAGAATAAAACAAAAATAAATATAAAAATAAAATAAAAATGAAAATGAAAATAAAGAAAAATAATAATAAAAATAAATAAAAAGATAAAAGTAAATGTAAATATGAAAATAAATAAATATAAAATAATAATAAAATAAATAAAAATAAAATAAAAATATATATTATTTCTTTTACATTAAAGAAAACAAATGATATCTATTTCAGCGTTGAGACCTCCGGGTTCCAAGGTGCCTAACTGATGGATCCAGAAGGCCTCACGCTGTGCTAGTTTCTCTTCCCTATTACCACCCCTCCAATGGGGTTTTATATGTTTTATACCAAAACACCTAAAAGACTTCCAACTAAAGTGGGGACAATTATTACAATGAATGGGGACTGTATGTTTAATGACCTTTCTTCGTATATTATTTTGGTGTTCCAAAAACCTGATTTTTTAATTTCCTCTTGGTTTTACCTACATATTGTTAAGAAAATTATTTATTCCAATAAATATAGTTTTGAATTTTGTCTTTTTAGTCAGAAATTATATTAGATCTCTTAAATATATAATCTCTCTCGTACTATCTCAGACACTTAACATTTCACAATTTTCTTCCCTCTTTCTTCTGTATAAATTATACTTTCTATAGATTCCAAGAATGAATTGCTTCCTGTGTCTAAGAAAGTTAGACGTCCCTACTTTGCCTCTGTATTTCTTTTGACTGGGTTGAAATTACAACACAGTCAAAATGAGAATTTTATGAAGATTCTACCTTTATGTAATAATATTTTTCAGAGAAGGACGGTGCTGCAATAATATACTGTCGTAACCTCTAGCTCCAAACCCTAACCCAAAACAATAAAGTTGCTGAGTTTATTACCCATATGGACCATGCATTGCATTTTGTAATCCATTTGGAATACATACTTTAAATCTGTGCATTTATGTCTTATGTCTTTTGCATTTTTCATCTTTCACTACAGCTTATGTACAAAACATTAGATTAGTTACCTTCCATCTTGCTTTAACCTTATCCAGTCTTTGTTGAAATGACAAAAATAAAACAGTCATCTGGGCCAGCCTGTCAATCAATCTGCATTACATCTCTTTCTCTTTGGATACATCCCCTAAGCCCATTGCTTTTAACATAAATAGTTAAAACTTAGATTTTTCATTCCCATGCTGTATAATGTATACAGTAAAATCTTATTCTCATTCATGCATGAAGATGATAGATATATGTGTGTGGAAATATTTGGATTAATTAAAATTACAGTTAAATAATGAATATGGGTTTAAAGTGCATTCTCTTGACTAATTTGAGGGTATTCACATCCATTGGAGGAAGGCATTAGGAATGACAGCTCTTTAATATGTAGCCCCACCTTTTTCTCAAGGTGTAACAAACCACTGGGGTTGTGTTCAGTCCTGGAGCTCTCCTTTACAAGCACAATCCCAGGGATGTATCTACAACGAGGCAAACAGGGCATTTGCCTTAGGCGGCAATTTCCAGGGGGCGGCAAAAAACGCTGCCCCCACATGCCCAGGCAAATACCTTGTTTGCCTCGTTTTATGGGAGCCCAGTAGCTGGCCGGCTGGCCACCTTTGGGCTCCCCCGGGGCAGGCGGGCAGTGGTTTCCGGGCGGGCAGTGAGGGAGCACTTTCCCCTGCCCTCTTTCTGCTCAGCGACCCGCAATAATGCCAGTAGCGCGCGAGGGAGCTGAGCAGAGAGAGCACAGGTGAAAGTGCTTCCTCGCTGCCCGCCTGCCTGCACGTCCAGCCACCTCCCTGCCCAGCAGCCCCACTGGACCCCAGGTGAGAAATCCACCCAACTATCTCAAAAGTAGGGAGGCTGGGGGATGAAATTAAAAAAAAAAACGTTTGCGTTAGTGTGTGTTAGTTAATGTGTGTTAGTGTTAGTTTTTGTGTGTGTGTGTGTGTGTTAGTTTTTGTGTGTGTTAGTGTTAGTTTTTGTGTGTGTGAGTGTGTGTGTGTTAGTGTTCGTTTTGTGTGTGTTAGTGTTAGTTTTTGTGTTAGTGTGTGTTAGTGTTAGAATGTGTGTGTGTGTGTTAGTGTTAGTTTTTGTGTTAGCGTGTGTGTGTTAGTGTTAGAGTGTGTGTGTGTTAGTGTGTGTGTGTGTTAGTTTTTGTGTCAGTGTGTGTTTTTGTGTATGTGTTAGTGTTAGAGTGTGTGTGTTAGTGTTAGTTTTTGTGTTAGTGTGTGTTACTGCGTGTGTGTTACTGAGTGTGTTAGTTTGTGTGCGTCTGTTAGTGAGTCTGGTGTCTGTTAGTGAGTGTGTATTTTGTAAGTGAGTGTTTATGTGTCTGTCAGTGAGTGTGTATGTATGTCTGTCACTGAGTGTGTGTCTGTCAGTAAATGTGTGTGTCTGTTACATAGTGTGTATGCATCTGTTCGTGAGAGTGTGTGTCTTCAGCACTTACCTTTCTCCAGCGCCGGACTCCCTTGGTGCTGGGGATCCCTCCGCCCCGATCCGCCTCTCAGCTCTGAATGAGCATGCGCGCGGCAAAACCGCCCATAGGAAAGCATTACTCAATGCTTTCCTATGGACATTCAGCGTCTTCTGGCTGTTAGTGTAGGACCTGCCAAAGATGGGGTACATGGACTTTGTTGTGGAAGGCTTATGCAATGTATGATCATATAATGTAACTAAACCCCCATTATTTTTGACTAGATTAGGTGATTTTAAAAAAAATAATAAAATCTTTCAACATTGAAGTTGCTGTTTAGTGGATAGGTGAGTGCGCTGGATCTTGTGTATTGTATTATTTGGCCCCCAGCAGCATCCCCATTTATGCATGTTCAGGTGAGTGCAGCCAACCCCCCCTTGTTTCATATATATATATATATTTTCTGCTCAGATTACCCCAAATTCAGTGAAGATGATTCAACGGGGCTTCACTTTACAGATGGACAATAACCCAAAACATACCGCAAAAGCAGCCCAGGGTTTTTTTAAGGCAAATAAGTGGAATATTTTGCAATGGCAGTCACCTGATCTCAACCCGATCGCGTATGCATTTTACTTGTTGAAGACAAAACCTAAGGTAGAAAGATAGCTGAAGTAAAGGCCTGGCAAAGCCTCTCATCGGAGGAAACCCAGCGTTTGGTGATGTCCATGCATTTCAGACTTCAAGCAATCATTGCCTGCAAAGGATTCTCGACAAAGTATTAAAAATGTACATTTTATTTATGATTGTATTAATTTGTCCAATTACATTTGAGCCCTTGAAATAAGGAGAGTGTGTATGAAAATGGTTGCAATTCCTAAACGTTTCATACAATATTTTTGTTCAACATGTTTAATTAAAGCTGAATGTCTGCACTTCAATTGCATCTCAGTTGTTTCATTTCAAATCCTGTGTGGTGGCTTGCAGAACCTAAATTATGAAAATTGTGTCAGTCTCAAAAAATTTCTAGACCTATATATTTATATATTACATCTACCAGCCATTCACTATAAATGTTTGAGATGCAAAATGACCAAGATAAGATCAGTTGAGCAAAAGTAAGTTTATTTATTATTTTACATTAATATACAATTTATACATTGTCAGATATTAAAGAGGTAAACGTAATTGTTTTTTGGTTGTTAATACAAAACATAAGAGATAGGAAAACATAAATGTCATGTGCAAATGGTATTTAACCTCTGACAAGTGATAAGTCTAAGCAGGCTATAGAAAGAGATGGTAGGAAACCAAGGGCTGAGCCTGAATGCATACACATTGAAATGGGGACAGATGGGATTGTATGCAGTAACCCTCCTGATCTATTTCAGATCAGCACTAATAGGGTTATTCACTAAACACCATATTTTGTCAGAAAGGCTATTTGCAGATTTACTAAAGTCTAAGGTGGTCTGGATTCGGTCATTCAAACTGATTCTTTATCATTTGTTCGGAAGTGTTCAGTATTGTTTATATGTGAACCGATATGGAATTGGACATTTATCAACGACCGCATGGTGACTGGATATAAATCAAACATATTTGCCAACATGTGCTTTTGCAAATTATTGTTCATTTGCTTCAGAGAACTATTTGCCCCCTGACCATGCTATCAGCCATCAGACAAATAGTTAAAAAAAAACCTGATTAGCGCAAGGGTTAATTTTGTGACAGCTGGCTTAAATAAATAAATAAATAAATAAAAAGCTTATGGAGGTCAATAAGAGTGCTCTGACAGTCAAGTCTTGAGGTAAGTGAGACTTCACTTATGCCAACTAATAAAAGAGCTCTTACTCATTATGCGAAGCGTGGGAAATGTTTCCACTTTGCTGTGAGCATTTGGGCCTCCACCTGCTGCCAATGGATAGAGTTCGGTGGAGACATGAGGTTCTGCCCCATTTTATATTCTAATTGCGGCCCTCACCTGCTGCCAATTGATGGGTTGCAGGTAGGACATTGTGTCTTCCAAGTTTACTGTTACATTTAGGGACCCCAGCCACCACAAAAAGATAGGGGCAAGGGCGACACATGAGTAGTATAATAGCCCCCAGCAGTTGACAATGGTTGTAGTAGGGGGACATATGGATTCCACCCCCATCCCCTCCATTATTATTTTGTCCGATTGCACCCACCCAATCAAACAGGTGAGGGGCAGAGAGTACTATGTCATCTCCACCTAGGTATTTCTCATGACCTATCCCCATGGGATGGTGACTTTTCTATCAACTGGGCAGAAATGGCTACTCAGTCGCTAGTTTAACATTTTTAAGGGACATGTCACCACCTGTCATAGGCAGGTGGGGCAATATGGATGCTTACAATATGCAATATGGATGTTTACAGTAAGATATAGATCTTTTGACATCAATAGGATTTTTTTTGATTGTTATTTTTGTTTTCACTTTTTGAATATCGTTTGTAAGTACTGGCCAGCCGCCACATAATTAACCATCATGCATCCACAGGTTTTTTACTATTTGCCCGCTGGCTGCTAGTGGTGCTAGCAGACAAGTAGTTCGGGACAGATGCTTTTCTATTTTCTATTGTTATCATTGTCATAGCAAATGATGTAAATAGATAAATGTGTACGATTCCTAAAAAAAAAACCACCAGTACGCAATTATTTCAACGTAGCATACGATAACAAAATCTCTCATAGTGTAAAATCTTATTCCATTATAGTTATTTGTCAGTTAAAAAAAAACAAAAAACTTTATGTAGAAGAATAATACAATTGAACACTCACCAGCTAATTTGCAAAATCTATTTATGTGGTGCTGAAAGCCATATTTACCAAGGCAAACAGCAGCAATGCTAATTGATTTCTGTGTCATTTGCCCCCAAAATGGTGTAGTTTGACTTCAAGAAGATTTTTGGGGCAAAATGCAAAATAAAGGTGTAAATCTGTAAAAGATAGAAAACACCACCTTCAATATAATACTTTATTAGAGGTTCCTCCTGGTGTCTTACCATGTCTTACTTAAAAAAAAAAAAAAATCATTCTGAAATACAACAAATAGATGTCACAAAAAGAACATTATTTTTGTCTCCGGCTGAGATAGTGGAGGTGGCAAAGTAGCATCCAGTAGAAAACAGAATTTAACCCGTTCTAAAATAGTTTGACTACTTACAATGGAGTTGCCAGGGCACAGTAGTAGTTATGGAGCTTGATAAATGCCTTTAATTTCAAATCACTTTGCACTATGTTGTCAGTTTTTCTATGTGGAGCCAAAGTCAGTGTTTCTTTGTACTGTTTACATGTAAATAGCATATTTCAAAGACATCAGATTAATTTAATTTACACCTAATAGATGAGGGGATTTGGTAAATGATTCAGCCAGCTATTTCCATCCTAATAAACAATGACTATCATTCTCTGATCAACTTCTTTCTTATGTGCTGGACTCATTGTTCATGCATTCTCTGGCAGTAGCTTTATTGCACTTAATAGAGATTGACAGCAGTCTGAACAGATAGATAGATGCATAGGTACATCAACAGACATACAGGCAGACAGAAAATAATTTAGATAACTATGTTTACACAGTAAATAATTCACATTTACTAATTAGGATATTTATATGCTCTTTTATGCATAGTACATTGAATTTTTTTAAAGCCTGTTATTGCTCCATCACTAAGATCTGCTTATTGTCTGACAAAATTACTGAGATCTTTTGGTGCTTTTTGATGACTCACTGTTTTCTTCTTTCCCCACACTCAGTGCCTTTTTTACCACTTCTCTGAAGTCATGTGACACATAGAAATATATAAATGGGTCAATGCAACTGTTAAAGGATGTCAGTGACAAAGCCAACATATACCACATGTAGAGCTGATTGTGTCTTTCCCAATCTTTCTCTAAGTAATGTAATATAAGCAGAATGTTGCTCGGGGTAAACAAGACAATGAATGTTAGAAGTACAAGCAATATCACTCTAACCACACTCCTGTAAGAATCCCTTTTTTTGATTAGTACAACTACAACTGGAATATAACAGAACAATACAACAATGAGAGGAATGGCAAATCCAATTGTGAAAAGTCCAAGAAAATAATAATTGTACCATTCATAACCAGAACATGTTGCCCATATATCATGGCATGTTGTAATATCTGGTTCTTCAAAACATTTAGTTTGTGGAACAAGTAGGAATATTGATGATCCAGGGATTACAATCAACCATACAGCAGTACAAATTATTATAGATGCCCTCCATCCCCTTAGACCTTTACAAGAGAAAGGGTGCACTAAAGCAATGTAACGGTCAATACTGATGGCCATAAGGAAATAAATTGAACAATACATATTTCCATAGAAAGCAGAAATGACAGTCTGGCACATAATCTCACCGAATATCCAGTCGTTTCCAAAAAAGTGATACATAATCTTGAAGGGTAAAGCAACAATAAATAGCAAGTCAGCAGCAGCCAGGTTCAGTAGAAGAAGAGTAGAAGGTATCTTTTTTATTTTGAATGCAAGCACCCATAGGGCGATGACATTTGCTGGAAGTCCCACGATGAATACCACAGAATAAATTATTGGCAGAACGAGTGTTGTAATGGGAGATTTTAATTGTTTCTGAATGTCAAGTTCAAGAATTGAAGCATTGCATTTAGCGTCTTTATGTATGAATACCCTTCCCTGTTTAGTTCTATTTTCTGAAAAACAGATAGAATTGAATATTTCAACCAATTTGTAATATAAATATATTATTTTACAGTTAAACAAATAGCATTTCAACAAAGAAAATTTGTCATAAATGAGATTCCCATAGCTTAAAGATAAAATGTAACATGAAAAAAAAAAATGCTGTGTGCAGCATTAAGGGGTATTATAAACCAAAACAACTTTAGCTTAAAGGGACACTATAGTCACTAGAACAACTGCAGCTTAAGTGCAGTTATTGTGGGTGGGCTGTATTACTGATTGTGTGTTGTGGGTGGGCTGCTGGACTAACAAGGGCACTGACCGGCAGGAGGTCAGATACCCTGTTAGTCTGTTTGGAAAAGGGGAGAGATGTGACGAGAGCAATCTCGCCACATTGCATTGGAGAAGCCTGGTTGCTCGCCTGTTGCCTTTCGATTATGGCCCCATGGTAAAAGACTTCTTTTCCCCTGCAGAAAAGGCTTATTCGTGCCTTTCTGCCCAGCGATCGGTAGATTCAATCTACCGAACTAACGCACGAATGACTGGACCACCTGGGAGCTGGAGTGTGTCGGCAATTAACCTCCCAGAATCTGCGGTTAACCGCAGCTTAATTGACGAATGCTGGGTGGCCTTTGTTCGGTTGCCGTTTTAAAGTCCCGAACGGCCAGCGGTGTTCAGCGCCCAAACTGTGGAACTGTAAACGGACACTTATTTGCGCGAACACCGCAGAGCCGTCAGCCTCCTTGCTTCTGCATTCGATCAGTTAAGCGAATGCCTGTTCATTCGGTAGTTTAAACCGTATGAACAGCATTACCCCAGATAGCCATCCCGTGGAGTCTATTCGTATGGAGAACAGACTTTAGGAACACTTTAACTCCACGGCGATTGGACTGTGTGCATAGGATCTGAGCGCTATTCGGTACTTTTGTGCGCTCAGATCCCAGCTATCTGGGGATGGGTTGCAAGTATATATTTTGTGTGATAAATGTAATATTGTGTATTTTATTGTGTTTTTGTGTTTTACTGTAACCATGTGGTTAATGGAGTTTTGCCTCTGTCCTGGGAGATAATTGGATTACTTCCCAATAGTGATGTCCCGAACGGTTCGCCAAACGGTTCGCGAACGGTTCGCCACGAACGGTTCGCCACGGACTCATCATTGAGTAATTTTTGACCCTGTACCTCACAGTCAGCAGACACATTCCAGTCAATCAGCAGCAGACCCTCCCAGACCCTCCCACCTCCTGGACAGTTCACTAAGAATGCAGCTTCAAAATGGATGCTGTCCAGGAGGTGAGAGGGTCTGGGAGGGAGGGTCTGCTGCTGATTGGCTGGAATGTGTCTGCTGACTGTGAGGTACAGGGTCAAAGTTTACTCAATGATGAGTCCGTGGCGAACCGTTCGCGAACCGTTCAGGACATCACTACTTCCCAATTATCTCCAGGACAGAGGGAGGGAAGTTAGGATGCATTGTGGGGATATTTACCTCTGTGTGTCTGTCATTGGTTCATGTCTGTCCTTTGTCACAGTCTCCCATTTGGTCCCCTAGGGGAGTGTCCACCAGGTGGGAGACCTGCATAAATACTGGGCAGGTAGCCCTCATTAAACCAGACCACTGCTTGACCCTCAACATGGAGCTCTGTCTCGTCTTTGGGGGGATTTACTATATGCTGTTAGAGACTGATTGCCAGGAGTGTAAGCCGCTTGGGTGCTTTTCCTGTTCGTCTGCTAGCAGCTATTCGTGAGGTTCCAGTTTGGGAGTTTGGAGTGCTATTTTGTATGCAGTTCGGGAGTTTGGAGCATTCCCTTACATGCGGTTTGGGAGTTTGGTGTTCTGCAGTAGCTGTGGAAGGGGAAGATCTACCAAACGGCGGTTTAACCCTTTTATGCTGAGGGTGCCGTAACAATGTCTGTCAGGGGTGTGAGTATGTGTGTGTCTGTCTTTATGTGTCTGTATGTGTGTGTGTATGTGTCTGTCGGGGGTGTCTGTGTGTGTCTGTGTGTATGTGTCTGTGTGTATGCGTGTGTGCCTATGTATGTGTCTGTGTATGTGTGTGTGCCTCTATGTATGTCTGTGTCTGTATGTGTGTGTCGGGGGGGAGGGCACAGATTGGGGAGGGAGGGCACGGATTGGGGGGGCACAGATCAGTTTCGCACCATGGCCCCATGTATTGTGTGTACGCCACTCTCCACTACATACACTATGCATCCACTACATACCTCTGCATCCACTACACACACACTGCTTCCACTATACACCTGCACACAATGAATTCACTACACAAACTGCATTTCTTATACACACACTGCATTCACTAAACTCACTGCATAACATGTAGACGTGCATGTGGTTTTTGTGAGTGGGTTAGCAGCATTTCATCCTTGAATTCAGGCAGCAGAATGTCTTGGGTCAGCCTTGGGGTCAGGAATACATGTTTGTTTACCTGACCCTATAATGCTTCTTTAATGAAACAGTTTTGGTGTACACATCATGGGCCTGCAGTCTCTCTGCTAATGGTCTGTTTTGCCATTAAGGATTAATCACTTTGTTTATACAGCCCTAGTCACATCTCAACTGACCTGCACATCCTTCATAAACACTACCTGAAAAGGAACATACAAAATCTAGGTTTCTTTATTGCACAATATTTATAATCTATAATTTCTCATCTTCTGCTATGTTAATAGCCTTCTAGAAACTGCTGGAGCCTGCTGTGTGTGATTAAAGTTCAATTTACATAACATGACATAAAAACGTCTAAAGTAAGTTAACATCTGATGGAAAATTAAACAATTTTTCATGCAGATTTTGTGAGTCACAGCCAGGGGATGTGTGGCTAGGGCTATGTAAACAGAAACAAAAGTGATTTAACTCATAAATGGCAGTGAATTGAGCATTAAAACTGCAGGGGCATCTGTACACAAAAACTGCTTCATTCAGCTCATGCTGTTTCTTGACTATAGTGCCCCTACAAAGTTGTTTTGATGCCTATAGTATCTCTTTAATGTGCCAAAACATCACACATAGCAGTAATGGAGCATTCACCCACCTCAGATTCTTGTTACTGATCTCTTGGTCATGGAAGATTCTCCTTCTCATGAGCCTTAGGCTATGTACATCCTTTTTTTCATATGTTTCCAAATTTAAAATACAAACAAACAAACAACAAAACAAAACTTAAAAAACTAAAACTATCTTTAGTGATGTAGATGCAATGAGGAGGAGTGAATGGAACTATAACACACTCCCTTTCCAGAGTAAAGGGGTGTTTTGGGAGCCTGGTTATATTTGTTTGCATTAGAACTCATCTGGGGTCCACAGGCAACAATAATTTCAGGTGATATTTTACTTCTTTGAAAATATCAAAGTGTATCAGAGATTGGGCTGTGGCAATAAATATGCCCTGGAGTGCTGAAAATGTTCCTCTTCTGCTAATTTATGAAATAATGTTCACCATTTTATAAATCGACTCATATTATAATGATTTAAAATGACATGTCACATAAAACTGTAGCAAAATAATAAATTAAATATCATATATTATCACATTATTTTGGATATTAGAGTATAGCTTTTACTTTACATATGGGTAATAAAAAAAAAAAGTGTTAAGTGGTGATTATGGTGCTTGGAATAATTCAACATGTTTTGGAACAATGACTAACCCAAATTGTAAAACTGTAACGATTTTCTTTGTTGCTGTATCAAAAATACTATAAACATAATTGAAATTTCAACTTTTGTCATTCTGAGTAGTGCATTCTTTATTCAACCAATAGCAAACTATAAATTTTTTATTATATGATTTATAGTATTACATGATTTATTGAGATAAAAGGCATTGGAAATTACTGAAGGCTCCAACAAGAAAAAAACTTCTTCAGCACTTGACCAAGTTAAAGCTCAGTAGTGAAAAGATTCACTATGCTGCAGACCTTTTGCAGGCGTCATCTGGTTGAAAATTATAGGAACTAGAGTCCATGGTACTTTGAAGGTATATACTCCTAACCCTAAATCCTCCTTAAAACAAATCCTAAATCCTACTAATGATGCTACATCTATAAACCCTTCAACCCTAAAATTATAACAGTAAACTCTTATCCCAACCTTAGCTTTTTAATTCCTCTTATTATTTTTCCGAGTAGGTTTAATGACACTGTAATCATACAACTTTGTCCTATTTGTCATGAACATGACTTTTTAAAGATGATAAAAGAGAAATGAGTATGACAGTAAGAAGACTATTAAAATTTCACACATCTCTCTAAAGTTTCCAGTGTCAGCCCTAATTTCACATTTGGCACTTACTATAATTAATATTTTGTTTTTCATTGTTGATATTCCATAATGACAAGCAATATAACTGCACAGAAAACAAATTTTCCATCCCATTGAGGATCTTATTATTACATTCTTTTGCTAAGCTACTTTTAAATCTATATTAGGTAATGCTAAATAATATCTTACTGACTTACCTCTTTTGTTACAGCCTTCTGTGGATAAAATAAATGCAGATAGAATAAAGAAAAGGGTGATTAGAGTCTTCATATCCATTATAAAGTGCTGAAATTCAAAGTATAGTTCTGTGTTATTTTGAATCGTTATGAGCAATTTCTCCTGTGATCCTTCTTGTTGAAGTTCATGTGCCTACTTAAAACTCAGCAGGATGTCATATATTGTTAGCAAATCATATTTGCATAACTTCCTTGATTGTAGAAGATTCACTTAAATCACGTGTTATTACATTATTTATTTTTTTGTTTTCTTGTCTATGGCTATATATAGTATTTTGGTTTGTTTTTTTATTTTTTTCAAGAGCCATGTCACATACATCAAACAATGCAAATTGTATGATGATATGGAAACATAACTAAGCAATATTCATATGTCCTGAAGAAAAATAGTCCTGGATACAGTGTATGAAATCAAATGAACCATACGACATAACAGCACACATCACTGCATCACAAAAATCCTCTGATCAGATAAGCTGGGAATCAGGAATACCGTAGTGTGGAATAATATGTTGCTCCATGCGTGTGTATACATATCTATAAATCACCCGTTACATCTTTTATTTCTTTCAACTCCCTCTCTCTATATCTCTCTCTACATCTCTCTGTCTGTCTGTCGTGGACACCAAGGAATATGGAGGGAAGAGAAACACTAAGGGACAGGGAAGGGAGGGAGAGGAACACTTAGGACAGGGAGGAGAGAGGAACACTAAGAGACATGGAGGGGAGGGAGGGGAGAAGAACACTAAGGGACAGGGAAGAGAGGAAGAGGACCACCTCAGAGACAGGGAGAGGACCACTAAGGGACAGGAAGGGAAGGATAGGGACACTAAGGGACAGGAAAGGGAGAGGAACACTAAGGACAGGGAGGGGAGAGGAACACTAAGAAACAGGGAGGGGAGAAGAACACTAAGGGACAGGGAAAGGAGGAAGAGGAAAACTTAGGACAGGGAGGGGAGAGGAACACTAAGAGACAGGGATGGGAGGGAGGGGAGAAGAACACTAAGGGACAGGGAAGGGAGGAGAGACACAGAGGGGCTGGATGTAAAAAAGACACACAGAGGGGCTGGAGAAGGGGCTAAAAGACACACAGAGGGGCTGGGGGTGAAAGAGACACACAAATGGACTGGAATGAGTACATATATATATATATATATATATATATATATATATATATATACACACACCACATTTCTGTTCTTCTAAAGCATTAAGGAAATTCTGGAAGCTGATAACTATGAACATCATTTGCAGACACCAGAAAACCTTGCATCATTTCTGCTCATGCATTCGTTGGCACCACAAAAATTATGCCATGATCATGATCATTTTACTCTGATAGGGCCAGGATAAGCTTTGTAATGAACCTTATCATGGACCATGCTCTTATTTTTGGCCAAATTGTTACGTGAGAATAATCACCCCATTGCATACATCTATCAACTTAAAACTGAATTTCCTCCTTCCCTTCCTTAACCTTAGCCCACACAATTTAATGATTTTACTATTCCTTCTACTTTCCATCCACAGCAAAGTGCACTGATCAGCCACAACATCAAAACTTCTGACAGGTAGAGTGAACAATATTGATTATAATGTTACAATGGCACCTGTCAAGGGGTGGGATATATTCAGGGCCGGTGCAAGGATTTATTGCCGCCCTAGGCAAAGATCCATTTTACCGCCCCCTTATGTCACTCACTCACTGACAGACACCCACACTCACTGACAGACATACACTCACTGACAGACACACACTCAATGACACATATACACTCACTCACACACACACACACACACACACATACTCATTGACAGACAGACAAACAGACATACACTCACTCACTAACAGACACACACACACACTCTCATTGACAGACATACACTCACTCAATGACAGACACACACTCACTCACTGCCCCCTCCCCTAGTGGTCTCTCCACCAACCCTTCCCTCTCTTAGTGATCTCTCCCCCCCCAACATTCTCCTCAACCCCCTACGTTCTCCTCATCCCTCCTCCCTCCCACGTTCTTCTCACACCACCCCTTTTTTCTTCCTTCAGTGCTACAGGCTGCTTGCTGAGGATGGTGTGCCAGGTCAGCAGCTGCTCACTCCCCGCTGCATTCCCTCTCCCTCCAGTTGACCCACTCTATCTGTGAGAAAGTGCTGTCACTTTTTCCCAGCATCCCATACAACAGGGGTCCGGTTGCGGCCACCCGACGGGCAAATCACAGTGGAACCCCAATTTTGTTCTCGCGGAATCCTATTGTTCCGTGGAACACTAAATTGGAAACACTGGTTTAAGGTGAAGTAAACATGTATTGAGAAACAATACTAGAATCCCAGGAAATAATATTTTTAGCATTTCTATTTTTCTTTCTCTATTTAAGTATTGATTTCATTTGCTTTCTTTTAAACGGTCCACGTAATATATATATGTAAGGCTGGGCCTGTAGTTGTGGGAGGGGCTTGGTTTCCCTTCCTCAGGTATTACGCCCATTGGCCCGACTCATAGTTAGTCACGTCACTTTATTTCATAGAGAGGGCCTCACCTGTCACTCCCATTCTATATTATGCTTTTACAAGTCACCAAGTGTCATGTATAGCCTGGCATGCATTCCGCCATCGGAACCCACTTCCGGGTTCACTGCGCTTAGCCCCGCCCCTTTTTCTGACGCGGTCCTTCCACGATACTTAGGAAGACCGCGCCAGATTCAAAGGGCTGGATTATTTGCACAGGTGCCTGCAAAGAGATCAGCTGTTCTACTTTGATCCTACCTGCTCCACTCCTAGACCTCGGCTTGTAAAACGGAATTCTACCTTCTCCACTCCTAGACCTCGGCTTGTAAACGGAATTCTACCTTCTCCACTCCTAGACCTCGGCTTGTAAACGGAATTCTACCTTCTCCACTCCTAGACCTCGGCTTGTAACACGGAATTCTACCTTCTCCACTCCCAGAGCTCGGCTTGTTAAAACGGACTTCCACATTCACTACTCCTAGTCCTCGGCTTGTTAAAACGGACTTCTAATTTCTCCTCCATTGGGTGAATTAACCCTGCCAGTGCCAGAACTGCTTCTTAAGTTAAGTAAAACTTTTACCAAACAAGCCAATTCCTATTACTTCTATTACACAGTATCTAAAAGCTCACTAAAGTGTTATTTTGTCAAGTTATTCCTCTTATTCATAAGGGACTGCTGCCAAGGCTAATTATTTTCTGCAATAATCAAACTATTCTAATTGCAAGCCTGTCCAGCTTCATTAATAATTTTCTCATAAATTATTCCATCTTAATTAAGTTGGAAACTAACACTGCCTATTTCCCTGCATGTGTATTTAAAGATACAGTAACCATTGTTTCATATCAGTATAAAAAGAGGTGAAACTTATTGTTGCTGCAATCAGAAAATTCTGCAGTTGAGTTCCAATTAAAAAAGTATTACAGAATAATCCAGCCTTTTCAATGGAACCAGCAGATATCAACTCTCAAGTTTCTGCCCTAACCAATAGAGTGGATACGATTGCTCAGGGGTTACAGGAACTGCAAATTACAAATGAGAGAATATTAACCTATGTTAGAGACATGCAAGGTCATCTTCCTCATGCCGCTCTTCAATCGGCTGGTGATCCTACTGTCTGTAATCCAGAAAAATTTTATGGAGATAGAACAAAGTACAGAGAGTTTTTGAATTCTTGCAAACTACTAATAGCTTTAAAACCTAGATCTTATCTCACTGAAAGATCCAAAGTCTGTTCAGTGATCTCTTTTTTAAGAGGTGAACCTATGGCCTGGGCCCATTCCTTCTTGGAAAATGATGATCCCATATTAGATTCATTGGATGAGTTCTTTGAAGCTATGTCTTTATTATATGAAGATCCTTTTAAACAAACTACTGCTGATTTAACCATCAGAACATTACACCAAAAGAATAGACCTGTTGAAGATTATATTGCAGAATTCAAAAGATGGGCTACAGAAACCCAATGGAATGACATTACTTTACGCAATCAATTCCGTCTCGGATTATCTGAAGCTGTGAAAGATGAACTCTCTCGTACAGAACTTCCTCCTACCTTAAATGCATTGATTCAACTTTCCATCAGTATTGATAGACGTCTAAGAGAAAGAAGAGCTGAAAAGGTTCTTACTAATTCTACCTGGAGAAAACCTTTCACTACTCCAAAACTACCTGAAAAAATTCCTCCTCAAACTGAACCCATGGAAGTAGGTATAATAAAAAGTCCTCTTACTTCTGAAGAAAGAATAAAAAGGAGACAACTAAACTTATGTATGTATTGTGCTTCGAAAGAACATCTAATTTCCGAATGTCCTCTACTGAAACATTCAAAAGGTGGTAAGCTTCATTCATCTACTTCTATATTGAACGTTATTCAAAAAAGAAAAACATCTTCTTATTTTTCTATATCTCTCATATTACAGTGGGATACAAAAAGAATCGTGACTGAGGCCATTATTGATTCTGGTGCTAATGGAACTTTCCTTGATTTTTCTTTTGTTACAAAGAATAAAATTCCTTGTGTTCGAAAAACTAACTTTGTTCCAATCAGAGTTATTGATGGTTCATTTATATCCTCAGGACCCATAAAAGATGAGACAATCCCTCTAAGAATGATTACCAACAACGTACATTCCGAATTCCTTACATTTGATGTTATTAAATCTCCACTTTATCCCGTCATTCTAGGAATTAATTGGTTAAAAACCCATGATCCTCTAATTAAGTGGTCTCCTTTCTCCATTTCCTTTGCTTCTGATTTTTGTAAAAAAACGTGCTTACAACATATTCCTATTCTCCAAACTACTAAAGAATCAGTTATACCTCCATTCTACTCCGATTTTGCAGATGTCTTTTGTAAAAAAGAAGCGGAAACACTTCCACCTCCTCGGGTATATGATTGCCCAATAGATCTCATACCCGGAGCTCCTATTCCTTATGGCCATATTTATCCACTCTCTGAAAAGGAGTTAGAAATTTTAAAAGAATATCTTAATGAAAATTTACGCAAAGGGTTCATCAGACCCTCGACCTCCCCAGCTGCTTCTAGTATTTTCTTCGTGAGGAATAAAGACCAAACCATCAGTCCCATTATAGATTACAGAGCCCTAA